TTTCCGGGGGTGGTTTTTTTTTTTTTTTTTTTTTTTTTTTCCCTCCCCCCTTTTTTTTTTTTTTTTTTTTTTTTTTTTTCTCTTTCTTCCTTTCTTTCTTTCCGTTCTGGGCTCGGGTAAAATGCCCGCTTTTGTGACGGGCATGGGTTTCCGCACGTGATGGAGAGGGGACTGGCACCGGGGAGAGCCAGCGTGCGCGGAGCGGTGGCGGGGAGGAGGAGGGGGGGGGGGGGGGGGGAAAAAAGAAGAAAGAAAAAAAAAATAGTAGTTTTCAGTCAGATAAGCTTCTTAATCTATCAGCCTTCCAGAATACTGATGCTAGCACAAAGAAGAGGGTAACATGCAGACAGAAGCAAGGAAGGAGTATTGATACACTTTTAGAATATTCTTTTTCTTTTTTTTTCTTTTTCTTCTCTTTAAGGAAAGTAATAGTTCATTTTACTTTAGGGTCATGGAGATTGATCTACTCTTCTTGCCCCTCAATAAAATCCTTGTTGGACAAAGAATGCTCTCATAAGAACAAATCAGTATGCACAGGCATTGTACTGACCAAAGAAAAGTAACAGCTTAACCGATACAAATCCTGTGGTTGGGGGGGGGGGGGGGGGGGGGTTCGAAAGGGACGTTTATTGGTGGTTGTTTGGTTGATTGGAGGGCTGGGTGGGTTTTTTTAATCCGGATCGGGGTGGGGGTGAGAGCGGGAAGGTGGGAAAAGGTGCGGGACTGGAGGTGAGGGGGGCAAAAGTCCGCCAAAGGCAGGCTGAGGTGCGGAGGGGCCCCCGGGTGCGTGGTCGGGGCGATGGCAGCCACAGCCCGGGCTGGAGCCGCTGCGGTGATGCGGTGAGGAGCGGCGGGCGGTACAGCCATTGGAACTGGGGTCGGTACAAGGTGCCCGCGGTTCGGCTCCGCGCATCCGGAGGCTTTGCGGAGGCGCTTGTCGTTAAGGATGGCACCGATACACGCGCAAGTTTGGATATTTGGTGTATAAAGACAAACCACCACCAGTAAAGGAAAAAAAAAAACCAAAAAACAGGACCTCTTTAGAGGTATTTGATCAGTGTTAAAAGCAAACACAAAATTCTAGACCAATTTTTGTTTTTTTTTTCACTGATTAATAATGTTCAGTGCATATATGCTTATGTTTAGAAGCAGGTGATCAGAAAGCAAAGCGTAACTGGATGAATTTACAAGCGGTTACGCCACAACGTAAATCTCTGATATTTTTCTCCTCCTAAAGCATAACTGCTAAATTAGACATCTCATATAAATGGAAGTGCGATAGCCCACATCCCATGGGACACAAATTAAGTTTATTAGTTATTAGGTGTATATATGCTCTGTTTGCACAGAAGAAATAAACTATTTTTCCGTCACCCTAAGAAAAGAAGTAATTATTTTCACTAATCTTAATTCCTAGACAAGAACACAACTTTGCCTTGTAACAGTAAGCTGATTTCATATGTCAAATGATCCTTGCATTTTATTTTCATTTTACTTACAAAATACACATTTTATATTCTATCTGTTAATATCCCCATGTGGGCTTCTATATAGGTAGCACCTATAGAGATGAGCATTAAGGCAGGACATTTCAAATATTTTTTGCTTATACTACTGAATAGGGGCTTGCCTGCATTGTCTTATAAATCATATTCCAATGAATCATTAAAGACTGAGAACATGAAAACATGCCATGCAGTTTCTGGTAACTCAAACCAGCAATATCTATGATGGCAGTATTATTTCTGAGAATAATATAGAATTATATTTAATTTTGACCTACTCGTTTTTATCATCTTGTAATTATTACCCCCTTGCGTATAAATACATCTGTTATTGCTCTCTCTTTCTCTTCTCTTTTTATATGCCTATATATCATATAGATGCAATTATTGTTGGTATGCCGTATGCAAGTACAACCTTTTAAGTTGCACAGGGTACTAAAACTGAAATTCAGTTTGGCATCCAAAACACCTTGGTCCTCAAGAGGATTCTAATTGAAAGCTATTTTAATTTTTTTTTTTATTTTAATTTTTTTTTTCATTGAATTTAATGGTCCTTAGGTTTGTTCTCTACCAGAAAACCATTCATGTAGACAAGAAAATACATTTTCTTCTTTCTGCATTTCTGGAGGGAGTGATTACTTTCCTAGTATTTTTTTGTAATGCAGTACTGTATCACAAACATGTAGACTATCAGTTCGAAAATTCCTGATGTTTTTTCTTGATCAGCAAAGTGCAGTGGTCAGTGATGAAGTATCATTTCTTTTAAGGGCATCACAATGCAAGCAAACAAAAGCAAGCCTCATAGCGTGAATGAAACAGGCCAATTGGATTAAATTAGGACAAGTGACAAAACCAGTAGGTGTACTGGAGACACTGTGCTATTCTATATATTTTTTTTATTCTTACATAGACTTTATCTTTTTAGCTGATCTCATGTTCCTGGGCAGATCATTCACCTGACAATTTTTACATTTGATAAAAATGTCAATCTTAATAGACATCCTTCAGCTGAAGACCTGTCATGTAGAGGTGAAGGCAAGAGGCAGGAAGAGAAGCTGTTTAACTAAAGCTTTGTATTAAAGGTATCATATAGAAACAAGGATTTGTTTGGTTTTTTTTTTTTTTTTTTAACAAAAGAGTGATTCAAGGAACATTTACTGGCTGCTGCCTAGAGGTTTGCACATTTGTTTTTGACAGGTTCTCAATACAGCCTCCTCTTGGCCTTTCAAACATGCATGCTGCTATTTGATGGCTGAATCACATAGTGTAAAGAACAGCTCCACCTGGGTAGGACAGGAATAAGCATCATGCTATAACCAGCATATAATTTAGTCATTCTGTCACTTGAAGGCTTGTCATCAAGATTCAAGATCTCTTCTGCATGAGTAAGATTGGTTAGTTATGTGCACTGAATTATAATGCTGCGAGTCTTTAAAAAAAAATTGTGAAAATCTAATAAAACCAAAACATAAACATGAGCTGCACAGATCAATATAAGGCTCTCATGTCCAACTGCAGCTATCCTCTGTCACAGTCCATCCCAAGTGCTCTCAAGCAATGTTTGTAAAGCATTTATGCTGTGAGCCATTTCGATCCTCACACCTGACAGGGTTATGTACTCAACTCTGTCACCTTTTAATAGTTCTCAACTTCTCATTTTATTTGTTTTCGTAGTCCCCAGATTGGATTTAGAAGAAAAAAATAAAAAAGCACAAATAAACCCCCCCCAAACACCAAAGGGAAAAAAAAATATTTCACTGCCTAGTAGAGGAACTGGCAGTACTCTTTGAAAATTATTTGCAATTAGATGGGACACAATCCTAATCCAAATAAAATTTTCATAACTTGGAAATGGATAAAAGAGAAAATTGGAAAATATAATTTATAGGCAGTTTGCAGTGGTTGAATTTAAAAGGTAGGAAATTATTTTGGAGACGTTACAAGCAAACTGATCCCTCTTTAGCTCATGTAAACTCATGGGGATGAATTTTGACATTAAAAATAAGCTGTATATGAAACAGGGTTACTTTGTGGCTTGCACGCATAGGTTGCATGAGGATCTGAATTGAAGCAGCCCTTGTAGAACACTGACTTTTCCAGATCTGCAGTGGGGCTTTGCCAGTGGCATGGCTAATTCAAACCGAATGCATGACCACATGCCAGAACGATCCATAGCTAGGAATGCTCAGATTTGTAGTGTAATAATCTAAAAATAAATTGTAGTTACTGATGTCACAATGTATGATTCTTTCATTCGGCTGTCTTCTGTGCTGAGCCCACACACCACTCAGTGTCACAGGACATATCTCAGTAAGTGTATGCCACTGACTAGCTTCAGTAGAGGGTTAGGATTTTCCATGCTTGTCTGTCTTCTGTTATTTATGTGCTCACTGGGATTTGCAACTTGATGGGGAGGCTGAGCATTTCAAGAGAGGTAAGCTTTGAAAATGAATGGCACTCTTGTTAGAAAAAAAATATTTGAGACAGTATCACAGTGGACTTATTCACTTCACTCTGAAAACTAGAGGAGTACATAGCTGTCATAGTTTAATGTTATTCAAATAACTTCCTTTGAAAGAATTATTTTTCATTGCTTATGGAAGGACTATTTTTAAATACTGCACAGAATGAGATAGAATCATACTAAAGACTGATTCTGTTATTAGATA